GTCAGGGGAAAAATTGAGAATGTCCACTTGGGAGAGATGAGGATTCCTGTGCCACCACCCCGCTGACCAGATGCTCTCGGGGTATGCGAGAACACATGGTCAGACGAGGAGAGAGCAGCAGGAGTAGCAGTGTTTTCAGTGGTAATCCATGTTTCCGTCAGCGCCAAGAAGTCGAGGGACTGGAGGGTAGCATAGGCTGAGATGAACTCTGCCTTGTTGGCAGCAGAACGGCAGTTCCAGAGGCTGCCTGAGACCTGGAACTCCACGTGGGTGGTGCGTGCAGGGACCACCAGGTTAGAGATTGGTGACGTATGTAATGTGGAATTGATAAAAAGAAACAAAGGGCAATCAATTCACACAATGAAACAACATATTTTAGATGCTTTTCACTGACAGCCGCAACAATCAGCTAGGCCTTTTGCCACGCGAGCTGCCTAAGAAAGACTTCCTCATATGCCATTGCTCTCCTGTTCTATTGGTTTTCATATCAACTTTCTTTCCTTGTCCAGAAGTCAAAGGAACAATCCTAGTCATACTAGCAACCCATTCTTGTTGTTGCATCTTTAGATTCACCCTCTTTCAAAGTTTCTAACAGAGATTTCCATCTCTGTCAATTACCGCTCGGATCAGGTGCGATGTTTTGAAAGGTGTTTTCCCACGAATTGCATTTTGAGAATAGTTTGAAAATGTATTAGATGCTTCATTACACGAGTTGCATGGTATGTTAAGATGAATTGCCGTAATCAAAATGTCATTTCTGTCATTTTGAGCACCATGGGTAGACGCTCCCAATGCATATGGGTCCGGTAAATTTTCTCAAATGGCCATTAAATAAAAATCTTCCCGGTCAAGTTGTCCGGCACCACATTTTCCTAACAGAAACTCTGGTCTAGACTTGAATGCTGGATGTTGTTTGTGGGATTTGTCGAAGGGTAAGGTACAGGCTCAAATAAATATAGGCTACATGAACACAGACCCATAAACACTCACCCCATCGACACGTTGTACTAGATGTATACTTCCCTGGAATATCCTGTTGCAGAAATAGCCTTGTGTTTGTGAGTCCTTCCTACCACACCATTACAGTCCTGCCATTCAGTCAGACCTAGGGTTGCAAATGGGGGATATATTACTGGAAACGTTCTAAGTTTTCCAGTAAACTACCAGAATTTTGGTATCTTTCAAGGATTTTATGTAATCTATCACAAGACATCTAGTGGCCCCTTTGGGTACTTCAGATTATCACAGGTGTCTGCAACTATCTCTGTCCCTCTCTCTGGCCTTATCACATGTCAAATATATGAGATAATTCAATACAATGGTAAAAAATAGAATGACAAAGCTATAAAACATTTAACTAAATATAAACCATCAACTTAGTGAATACCATTTGGTGTTTAATGAGTTTCAGCATGAAATACCCTTTTTTTTTTTTTACACACTTTGTTGTCAATGTTTTGGTGGCAATTGTGAAAAAAGTAAATAGTTGGACGAGTTCTAGAGGTAAATTAAAATAATGCCATTGTTGATTAGCTGCTTCTTTCATTAATTAGGCTATTTTCTCTTGAACCATATGGTCTATCTACTAGAATAGAAACTCATGGACACGGATACATAAAAAATGAATAAAAAAATTATAATAATTTAGCAAAGTTACTATAGCTTGCCATAGATATTCTACTGAAGATACTGGTAACTTTAGTAAATGACCGGCTTTGCAACCCTAGTCAGACCACATAACACAGGCTTAGTACTGTAGGTCTGCTTACTATAACATGCATGACTCTGCCCTGCCGTCAGTTGACATTTGTTTGTTTTAACAAACATTAGCCTTACTGTACATCCTGATTAAATGACAACAGTGTCACATTATGTCATGCCAGTCTCCTGCCCTTTGGAATAGTTCATATTAAGCTCAGGCCAGTGGAGGAACACCTGGATATTTTCCACTGTTGTGTACTTGTTTGTTTATGTACACATGTGTGTTTATTGGAGGGAGGGTGTGTGTGTCATGTTGGCTCTCTCTCTCTCACTCTCTCTCTCTCACTTTCACTCTCTCTCTCTCTCTCTCTCACTCTCTCTCTCTCTGCCAATGAAATATATAATAGTCTTTAGTCATTCACACTGCAGTTGGAAGGGATAAACACATACTATCTCATATCTCATATCCCTCTGGAGTACTCCCAGTACTAAATATTCTTCATACTCCTAGCCTTGAGCTACAAATAACATTTCAAATGTTCTCAACTAGCCCACATTTTGTGCAATCGTTTTCAATTGAAGTTCACCCCACTCATGCACTGGCCTTTGGCGTGCACACACACACACACACACACACATTTTAGTCATTTAGCATATGGTCTTACAGTGAGGGGAAAAAAGTATTTGATCCCCTGCTGATTTTGTACGTTTGCCCACTGACAAAGAAATGATCCGTCTATAATTTTAATGGTAGGTTTATTTGAACAGTGAGAGACAGAATAACAACAAAAAAATCCAGAATAACGCATGTCAAAAATGTTATAAATTGATTTGCATTTTAATGAGGGAAATAAGAATTTGACCCCTCTGCAAAACATGATTTAGTACTTGGTGGCAAAACCCTTGTTGGCAATCACAGAAGTCAGACGTTTCTTGTAGTTGGCCACCAGGTTTGCACACATCTCAGGAGGGATTTTGTCCCACTCCTCTTTGCAGATCTTCTCCAAGTCATTAAGGTTTTGAGGCTGACGTTTGGCAACTCGAACCTTCAGCTCCCTCCACAGATTTTCTATGGGATTAAGGTCTGGAGACTGGCTAGGCCACTCCAGGACCTTAATGTGCTTCTTCTTGAGCCACTCCTTTGTTGCCTTGGCCGTGTGTTTTGGGTCATTGTCATGCTGGAATACCCATCCACGACCCATTTTCAATGCCCTGGCTGAGGGAAGGACGTTCTCACCCAAGATTTGATGCGCTGAAGTTGTCCTGTCCCCTTAGCAGAAAAGCACCCCCAAAGCATAATGTTTCCACCTCCATGTTTGACGGTGGGGATGGTGTTCTTGGGGTCATAGGCAGCATTCCTCCTCCTCCAAACGCGGCGAGTTGAGTTGATGCCAAAGAGCTCGATTTTGGTCTCATCTGACCACAACACTTTCACCCAGTTCACCTCTGAATCATTCAGATGTTCATTGGCAAACTTCAGACGGGCCTGTATATGTGCTTTCTTGAGCAGGGGGACCTTGCGGGCGCTGCAGGATTTCAGTCCTTCACGGCGTAGTGTGTTACCAATTGTTTTATTGGTGACTATGGTCGCAGCTGCATTGATCATTGACAAGATCCTCCCGTGTAGTTCTGGGCTGATTCCTCACCATTCCCATGATCTTTGTAACTCCACGAGGTGAGATCTTGCATGGAGCCCCAGGCCGAGGAAGATTGACAGTTATTTTGTGTTTCTTCCATTTGCGAATAATCGCACCAACTGTTGTCAACTTCTCACCAAGCTGCTTGGCGATGGTCTTGTAGCCCATTCCAGCCTTGTGTAGGTCTACAATCTTGTCCCTGACATCCTTGGAGAGCTCTTTGGTCTTGGCCATGGTGGAGAATTTGGAATCTGATTGATTGCTTCTGTGGACAGGTGTCTTTTATACAGGTAACAAGCTGAGATTAGGAGCACACTCTTAAAGGGAGTACTCCTAATCTCAGCTTGTTACCTGTATAAAAGACACCTGGGAGCCAGAAATCTTTCTGATTGAGAGGGGGTCAAATACTTATTTCCCTCATTAAAATGCAAATCAATTAATAACATTTTTGAAATGCGTTTTTCTGGATTTTTCTGTTGTTATTCTGTCTCTCACTGTTCAAATAAACCTACCATTCAAATTATAGCCTGATCATTTCTTTTTCAGTGGGCAACGTACAAAATCAGCAGGGGATCAAATACTTTTTTCCCTCACTGTATCCAGAGCATTCATCTTAATATAGCTACACACACCTGCAGTAAATAGTGAGTTTGTGCCCCTTGCCTGCCTGTGTGCATGTAGCAGCCTCCAGTTGGAGGTGTGGGGTTTTATGTGTTGTGTAACAGGGGTCATGTGGTCACCCATCACCACCCACCACTCCCCTTCAGCTGCCAAGCAGAGCTTCATGTAAATGTCGTGATCACCACACCTCTTCTCTGTGTTAATTAACAATGTTGTTGAAATGTACATGGAACTATGGAAGATGATTCCCCTGTCAACATGTTTACCATGGACATATCTTCAAAATGTGTTTTGTGTTTAGGCCTACTCACACTCCTTCCCTCACCAGAACAGATACAACATTTCTGGGGAACTGTTTGATGCAGTCCATTTCAATTATAGAGTCCTGGGCAGGTGCAGACACAAGTGTTTGTGTTTGTGGATGAAAGTGATCTTTCAGGGGTGAAATGACTGCAGGAGAGCTACAGGGAGCTCGAGAGCTGACCCCATATGAGGTGAACAATGACGTCTGAGGGGGTTTAAAGGCCCAATGCAGCCGTTTTTATATCAAATAATTTCTGGGTAGCAATGATCTTGTTGTAGTTTTCCATAAAAATTGACAAAAATATATTTTTATCAAACTATTTCTCAAGCAAGAATTTTGTTGGGAGGGGAAAACTGAAAACTATCTGTTATTGGCAGAGGTCTATTAACCAATTTACCGCCTGGTGATCACACCAGGCAAACTGAAACTCCTGCCCATGCAAACCTGCTGATTAGAAGGTCCTGTGTAGATTGTATTTTCAACCAGCAACTATCAAAAAATTATAAAAACTCACTTTTACAGTGTTAGTTTCATCAGCTGTTACAGAATATGATACAAAGCACAGGAACAACTGAATTTGGACTGCACTGGGCCTTTATAGGGAACTGATGAAATTATGCATCTCTCTCTCTCTCTCTCTCTCCAGACGCGCACACCTACGGCTGTGTTTAGAGCGATTGAAATCCCTCGTTCCATTGGGACCAGACTCCAACAGGCATACCACCCTCAGCCTACTGATGAGGGCCAAGAAACACATCGTGGTAGGTGATGGTGGGCGGAGAAGTGATGAGAAATCAGTTTCAAGTGTTTACAGTTTCAAGAGGGCAATTTGGTTGACCGTTGGCGAGATTAGAAGGTGCCACTCTGTTTCTGCTTCAGCCAACCCCCTTTTCACTGTCATGACAACGTTTGGCGTGGTTACAGCAACAGAGTTGACTAAAATAGAAAGAGATCTGTTACCATAGAGACCCTATTAAATTACTAGAGGGGCTGTGTAATAAACCCTCAGTTCCAGAAAGGGGTGCAAATGGCAGCCATGCTCTGGATAAGAGCGTCTGCTAAATGACTAAAATGTAAATGTGATTGTTGTTCCGGGAGAACTCCAAACCAGTCTAATTGGAATGAATGGCATTAGAGGCATAATTCTGATTTTACTTATGCAGGAAAATAAAAGTAAGGCATGTGATATCAGAAATTGTGTAATAGAATTATTGTCAACCTTTAAAATATTGTCATATAATTATAAATAGTTTTTATAAAGGTTTTATACAAAGGTTCTGTATAAATAGCCTCTAAAATAAATGTAAACAGACCATAAATGTCTCAATTTTAGTTTTCTTGGAAAGCTGCGAGTGCTATTATGTTATCTATACTTGTCTGTCCTATCATCAACTGATTTCAGCCAGTGTATGGCTGTGGATTGTCTGCATCGTTTCAATGGAATGTTGGCATATTGGCAGTTAATTTGAAAAATTAATGGAATCATTCCTCTAAAACTGTCTGGCTAACAAACATACAGTGCAGATACATTCTTCAAATTCATTATTTTACACTATCTTATCGCAGCACTGGCAAACCATGGTTGACCATCTTCCTGACCAAAATGGCTGACCTTTATACCATCATAAGAAGGTTCATATTCATTCTAGTTCAGGTGTATTCTAATTTCTAATTCTATATCTGTTACCCTCGCTGGCTAGAGGGTAATTAGTGTAGCACTAACTGGTATACATCTCTCTGGGTTTGATGAGGTAGAGTAAAGCGGCACCTGGTAAAAACTAAACCCTGCATCACTCCAGGACCAGGGTTACCTACCTTGTAGACTAGACTGAGGGAGGAACCTGTCTATGGTTAACTATGTGTGGTTGGCAGGAGGAGGCCAGTATATTAATGTATCACTGTTAGTGCCTTCAGAAAGTTTCCACACTCCTTGACCTTTTTCACATTTTGCTGTGTTACAGCATGAATTTAAAATGGATTAAATTGAGATTTGTCACTGGCCTACACAATAACCCATAATGTCAATGTTTACAAATTAATTAACAATGAAAAGCTGAAATGTCTTAAGTCAATAAGTATTCAACCGCTTTATGGCAAGCCTAAATAAGTTCAGGAGTGAACATGTGCTTAACAAGCCACATACAGGAAGTTGCATGAACTCACTCTGTGTGCAATAATAGTGTTTAACATGATTTTATTGTAATTATTGGCAGATGTTGCACAATCCAGATGTGGAAAGCTCTTCGAGACTTACCCAGAAAGACTCACAGCTGTAATCGCTGCCAAAGGTGCTTCTGCAACATAACTCAGGGGTGTGAATGATTATGTAAATGAGATGTTTCATTTTCAGTACATTTGCAAAAATGTCTAACAACTTTTTTTTCACTTTGTCATTATGGGGCATTGTGTGTAGATGGGTGAGAGAGAGAAAAAAATCTGTCTCTAATACAACAAAATGTGGAATAAGTCAAGGGGTATGAATACTTTCTGAAGGCACTGTACAAACTGAGGTTAGAGGTTGCAGGAGGGCAAAAGGCGATATCAGCATGTCTTCAAGCAGCTGCCCTGAGCACACACACAGTGAGGACCAGTGTGTAATGCTGGATGTGTGTCTGCTGTAGAGGTTGGAGGAGAACGAGCGGAGAGCCCAGCATACCTTAGACCAGCTGCAGAGGGAGCAGAGGCACCTGCAACGACGTCTGGAGCAGCTGGGGGTGGAGAGAACACGTATGGACAGCACAGGATCCACTCTCTCCTCCGACAATCCTGACTCAGACCAGGGTGAGCACACGGGGGAATCACTGATCTGGGATCATAATGCTTTTTGGTGGGGGTTTACAGTATAACATGTTTTTTTCTTCATTCACCACACTATAATGCAATCTCATACAATATAAAGTTATCCATTCTCTTCCACCAATCCTTCCACCCACTCTTACTGATGGGGCCTTATGTTAACCAAAGTTATTGAGTTTGAATATGAGCACAATAGAGACTGCATTGGTCCTGATTGTGGTACCTGCATAATAGTGACCTGTGTTGTGTGTTGCAGAGGAGGAGCTGGATGTGGACGTGGAGGGGACTGACTACCTGCTGGGGGATCTTGAGTGGAGCACCAGCAGTGTGAGTGACTCTGATGAGCGGGGCAGCCTGCGCAGCAGCTGCAGTGATGAGGGCTACTCCAGCGCCAGCCTGCGCCTACGCATGCAGAACCAAAACACTCAGGAGAAGGCCAAGCAGCTGGGCTGCAGCCTATAAGAGCACAGCCCTCGACCTCTGACCCCCAGCCCCCGTCCAATCCTGTCCCTCTATCGTCCAGTTAACTCCCGCCCACCAACCAGTCTCTGCCAATCAGACCTCCCAGCAGGACTGGCCTGTTCTGACCAAGCCCCCTCTTCCTTTCCAGCTGTATTCCACCTCTTCCCCCCTCAAACCCCCAATGCAACACCTCTTAGACACACCCACCATCCTATCTCAACTGTCCATCTGCCAACCAGAATGGAGGATCAGTCTGTGGCACTGCCCAATCAGAGCTTTTGGTTCAATCAGATGAGTGGGATTAGGAAGACAAGACACTCCTCCGTCCGTCCCTTTCGTGTCCACCAGCCCCCCTCCCCCCCTCCTTCCTTCTGTCCTTCCTGCTCTGCTGTCTGTTTCAGTGTAAGAGCAAAGTAGAGGTGACTGACTGTTTTCATGTATCCATGCAGTTTCCCCCTTCCAGCGTCCCAAAACTAAGACTTCAGCTAGAGAATGTGATTTCAACACTACACCTACACCCCACTGCCTCTCTCTCTTGTTCAGAAGCCATCTGAAGCAAAGCAGTCATGATGAGAACCCCTCTCGCCCCCCAGCTCTAAATCCCATCTCGCCCATTTCTCCCATGAGACTGGCCCTCCATAGGTGGTGGTACAGACAGCAGAGCTGTGCTACCTGACTAACCAGCTGACCAATCACAGCATGGTATTTTGGACTTGGGGACAGCATTGGAATGGATGGTCTTGGTCAAAGCGCTGTGGCGTGGTCATTTTAAACAATATACACTGCAGCTATTGTAGTAATGTTATCAGGTGTAGTCTTTCAGTAAGTCTTTATGGTAAATAATTGTCGACCTGCACTGTCCACATGTAAAGCCTCACTGGGAGTTCTACGACACTAAGCACGGCTGTGATGTCATCCATATTCCACAACCACTTCATTGTTGTGATCGGCAGCAATACATCATCCCTCTCCTCTACCAGGCTTAGCGGCTGGATACATACCTCCATGTTTATGGCTCTTATAAGGGGGGGGTTATTAAGCTGTATTTTTTTAATGTCCACACCTGCCATTCAGAATTTTTATGATGAAAAAAGTGCTAAAAAAAAAACCTTGTGAAGAACAATATGCAGCATGAGATTGTTAAGGAGTGGGGGGATGGAGGTCTTCCTCTCTCTGATGACGGTGGCGTCTAGCTTGTCTTTTAATGTACGTATTGTAGCCAGTGATAATCACTTCAATGTGTGTGTGAAGGGAAGTCATACAGATATTAACTGTTGAAAGTAAACCAGTGAAGATATTAAAGCACATTCCATGTTAGAGAGAAAGTAGGGCATGTTAGTAGAGAATTACCTTCGCCCATATTTATGAGGGAGAGCGTTTGCAGTTTTAAAGCCAGGAAGGATCTAGCTATCTGCTTCAGGTTACCCACAAGCAGAACACAACAGATTTGCTGACTTGCTTTGCCTTTCAGTCAGAACACAGTACAAGGAAGATCAACGTCTGTTGAGTTAGTTCACCTCTGAAAAGAACGGAGTAGAAAGGCTACTGTACACTAAATATACTCTCCTCTGCCTGGCCCATAGAGCTATTTATTATTTCAGCAAAATGTAGTCATGTTTATGTAAATAGTTTACACAGAAAGATCTCTATGTATATCGAATAAAAAGTATTTGTATTAGATCTAAATATATAGATATATCTATTTAATTAGTTATCGCTTTAGTTGTTATTGAGTTATTCTTGTGAGGTTTTCTATGTGTGGTTGGTTTGCACAGCATAGTCAATCCATAGCTTTTTTGTGCCTATAGACTTTTGTCTTTTCAGAAATTGGCACGGTGCTCCTAGAAATGAATGAAATTGTTTTATTTGTGGTTTATTATATTGGAGAGAAAAAAACATCCTCTGTGAATAACAGAAATAATTACAAAAATATATATATAAATTTAAAAAATTGAATAAAAAAATTCATAAAATTTAAGAGCTGGTGTTGGTGCTTTGGCATTGCTGTGATGGTGGGAAGCTACAGTGGGGGTTCACCCTTCTTTGTGCCTGAGAGCCTGAAACAAAATGGCTCCTCGACCCAAGAGATTATAACACATTGTAGAGATAGGAGGAAATAGTGGGTTCAATAACCTGGGGATAAACTGGGGAGGATTGCAGCAGCGTTTGAATGTAGTTGACTAGCATATAATATATCTCCCCTCCTCCTGCACTGTTGCAGCACAATGCCAAAGGAACCTCAAACCTGTGTTACATGCAGAATCTCGTTAGAATGAGAAGATGGTCGATACACACACAAAAAAATAATAGGGTTAGGATTGTTTAGTCTTTGTGTGGAATGCTGCACTTCTATGTCATTTAAAAAACCTTATCCAAAAGGAGAACGATGTAGCCATGCTAGAAGGGGATTGTTGTGAATTGAGCACCTTGCTGAGACTGGTGCTATGGGGCAGGTGTGTGTATGGTTTGTGTGTGCTGGAATGCTGGCGGTTTGAGTCGGGGTGTGTGTGTGTGTGTCCCGTCACTGTCTTCAGAGAGAAACTGTAAGGGTTTGGGAGAGGGAGGATTGTTTTGAATGGGGAAAGAACTAGCATTTGTATGGATGTTGTTATTTGTTTACTAGTAGAAAGGTGGGGGCGGGGAAAGCCCATCTCATCAAAGAAAACCTTGTGTATTATTAAAAAGATCGAATGGGATCTTAAGCACTTACAAATTCATAACATATTGTAGGAATTGGAATTCGTAACATACTGTATCATACGAATTGCCCAAAAACATTTTTTAAAGGATGACGTTGCACACAATTGTGCACACATTTCGGGGACCGGTTTTGGCTTGTGAGTGCTACTTTCAAAACTACTGGTTGAAAATATACAAACCTCTGTAGCATCACTTTAATCTAAGCAGTATCTGTTATTCAGGGCCACACACTCTTCTCCTTCCCTCCGTCCATGGCCTGTTTTCTGTGTCTTCCACTCCTCCCTGTGTGTGAATGTGGCTCCCATAGAGAAGAGATCCTGATTCATTTCTGTGGTGGTTCCCCTCCTCCACATGCTGTGGGCCAGCCACCATGGTGCAGAGGGAGCCTGAGGGAGCAGACAGGGCTGTTTCTACAGTATAGTTGCAGCTCTCCTCCCTCCCTGTATTACGCTCTGTTAACACCCCTGGTGCTTCAGCATCTGCCTTGAGCAGGTGTGGATTCTTAAAGAACAAGCAGATCAATGCAGTTGGCTTCTGTGTAGTCCTGTGTAAGCTATATGGGATATCACCCTGGGAATTCCCATGTTTTTTTTAGTTTTTTTGTATATTTGGGTTATGTTCGTAAGAAGTGGCTTAAGCCTTTTAAACAGACAAATGTAAGAGAACCATAGTAAAGTATATTATATATGAATGTATATCATATAAGTATAGACATGTTATTATCACAAATGTCATTATTTTCATTGTAACTGTGTCTCGGGCGTGTTGCTCTCCCTCATACGCACACACACGTTGTCGTACACACACGACTGAACAGAAGGCTTAAGGGTTTGTTTGTTCAACTATAAAAAGGTGGACATTTTGTGCACTTACATTTTAGAATTGGGGAATTTGATTATTGACTTTAAAAGAAAGCACTTAAAAATGGTGAGAAATTATTTGGGAAATGTGGAGCAGTAATTTATATTTGCCAGGGATATGAAAGGAATAAAACATCTCAAACCCTTGTTTACATAGCTACTTTCCTTGTCTTTGTATTTATGACTCGGTCTGATGATTTGAAATACAGTGGGGAGAAATATATTTAGTCAGCCACCAATTGTGCAAGTTCTCCCACTTAAAAAGATGAGAGGCCTGTAATTTTCATCATAGGTACACGTCAACTATGACAGACAAATTGAGAAAAAAAATTCTCCAGAAAATCACATTGTAGGATTTTTTATGAATTTATTTGCAAATTATGGTGGAAAATAAGTATTTGGTCACCTACAAACAAGCAAGATTTCTGGCTCTCACAGACCTGTAACTTCTTTAAGAGGCTCCTCTGTCCTCCACTCGTTACCTGTATTAATGGCACCTGTTTGAACTTGTTATCAGTATAAAAGACACCTGTCCACAACCTCAAACAGTCACACTCCAAACTCCACTATGGCCAAGACCAAAGAGCTGTCAAAGGACACCAGAAACAAAATTGTAGACCTGCACCATGCTGGGAAGACTGAATCTGCAATAGGTAAGCAGCTTGATTTGAAGAAATCAACTGTGGGAGCAATTATTAGGAAATGGAAGACGTACAAGACCACTGATAATCTCCCTCGATCTGGGGCTCCACACAAGATCTCACCCCGTGGGGTCAAAATGATCACAAGAACGGTGAGCAAAAATCCCAGAACCACACGGGGGGACCTAGTGAATGACCAGCAGAGAGCTGGGACCAAAGTAACAAAGCCTACCATCAGTAACACACTATGCCGCCAGGGACTCAAATCCTGTAGTGCAAGACGTGTCCACCTGCTTAAGCCAGTACATGTCCAGGCCCGTCTTGAAGTTTGCTAGAGTGCATTTGGATGATCCAGAAGAGGATTGGGAGAATGTCATATGGTCAGATGAAACCAAAATAGAACTTTTTGGTAAAAACTCAACTCGTCGTGTTTGGAGGACAAAGAATGCTGAGTTACATCCAAAGAACACCATACCTACTGTGAAGCATGGGGGTGGAAACATCATGCTTTGGGGCTGTTTTTCTGCAAGGGACCAGGACGACGGATCCGTGTAAAGGAAAGAATGAATGGGGCCATGTTGTTCACTAATTTACTCCAAGTAGGGAAAGGATGGTGGGGTTGAAAAGTAATAAAGGGGAATGTGTATATATAAAAAATAAATAAAAACATGGGGGATTGGAAGTGATGCAGACAATTACATTGATAGAAGATACAATCTATCTGCAATATTAAGCTGATCCATCCCCCCAATAAAAGTTTTGAGTGAAAACCTCCTTCCATCAGCAAGGGCATTGAAGA